AATTTAGGATGTGGTAGCGATAGTGATATTAAGTTGATAAGAATAAGGATTCATTGAAAATGTCAAAGGTCGAGAAGAGGATCTGTGGTTTTTACTACTATGTTTTGTGACTATGTGTTCAGTTGAGTTATTTTTTATTTAGAAGATGCTGTTTTACGCATAAATCTATTTGCCATAACGTTTAGTATAAATTTTCGGAAAATGCCTTGTGTGAATGTTACTTTTACAGTGGAGAGTTTTTGCATCTTTCTTCGAACCGAAGACAACTTATCGACTTTTTAGTGGACCATGGTGTTCTTTGTCAATTTTCGACGTGTGTTACGTGCGACAATATTATTGAACTTAATATTAAATACTTTGTTTTATACACTTGTTCCAAGACATATCGCCGCCAAAATCGGATCCGTAAATGTAAAACCAAAAAAAGTGCAAGAAGGCACTTGGTTTTTCTAAGTGAAATTTCCCTTGGACAGATATTGTTTATTTTTGGTGGTGTTGTGGCTAAGACTACCATTTCCAAGACAGAACTTTATTATGAGGGAGTTACATTGTAGTTCGAAAACAGTTGTAGATTGGAGTTCTTTTTGCCGCGAATTATGTGTTCAGTGGGTGGTTGAACATTCGGACAAAATTGGGGGAATAGGGAAAATCGTAGAAATTGATGAAGCAAAATTCGGCAGGAGGAAATATAATAGAGGACGTAGTAGGAGGAATTGACAGAGAATCAAGTAAAAGTGTTTTTTTGTGCCCGTGGTTCCTGACAGGGACTGCAGCATACATGTATTAAATGGTAATAAAGAGTGGATTTTGCCTGGAACGACCATTATTTCAGACTGTTGGAGAGCGTACGATAATTTGGAACGTGAAGGGTTTAATCATTTGGCCGTCAATCATTCTTTGCATTTTGTCGATCCTAATGATTCTAATATTCATACACAGAATATTGAAAGAATTTGGAGGAACGTCCGCGGTGCAATTCCCAGATATGGTCGAAAGCAACACCACTTTATTGGATATTTAGCTGAATTCTTATTCAAAAATGCCAATCAAGATAATTGTGATATACATCAAATTTCTTTCAAATCCGCTAAAATTGTATCAACACCCTAGTTTAACTTATATTTTCTATTATGTCTAATATTCTTTCGTTTTTCTTCTTTAAATGCAATTTTTATTTTCTTCTACATTCATTTGCCAACTTGCAATAACCTTCAACGAACGATTTTTATGTAGTTAATAAGTGACACAGATGTGTTTTATCTTTCCATTTATGTGCATTAGAGACTACTGATTATAGAGGAAATATCTGTTTTCCTCAAATTCCTTTCTATTCACACCCATACCCTAGTCATTCCCAAATAAGGAGAACCTGTAAATTTTTTTGTCGAAAATGGACAAAACGAAGGAGATTTTCTTGTTTCCGCAGGATAAGTTTTAATATATGGCTTTAAATATAAAATTTAAAAAAAAAAAAAAAAAATATATATAAAAAAGGTATATGTATGCCCCGATTTTTGAGAACTTCGCTCAAGGTAAATAGTGTGTATTGTATGCAATTGATTCTGCGGATTTACGATTTTTATGTGGAGGTGGCAACGTTGCATTCGATCGGAACATTCGGAACGCAAACAGCAGCAGCTGATTCATAGGCGAAGGCGAAGCGCTCGACGAATTTCATATTAAACCACAATCGAAACAAGTGAATGAAATATCTTGCCACTACTTATATATGATTTTTCGTTGATAAAGGATGTCGGTTTATTCGCTCTTTTTATGGATAACTAACGAGGAAGCTATTAAATATTCTCTTTACAGTGTTTTTTACGCCACCCAGCACCCTATTCGCTCCCAGGTCCCGTAAGCTTCTAACTGAAAATAAAGACAAAAAACAACCGTTTTTTGAAGCTCCGCAGGTAGGTTCGTAATCTCTACAATCATTTGAAAGTGTCTGTATGCATAAAATTGTCTTATATTATTAAAATAGCGGAAAACCGTTTTGTAAACTGTTACCAAAAACATTTCATATTTCACCAAAGAAAACACATAGTCGATTAAGTGAATTCACTTAAATTCTGAACCGATGCGAGACGCCAAACAGATGTTGTCGATTGTCGGAAGATGGAGTATGCGATATTTGTAAACAAGACTCGTACGGACTCGATGATGAGCCGTGGATTTTATGCGATAATTGCATGATATGGAAACATCGTAATTGCTTATCAATAAGTAAAAAGACCTATCAAAAGATTGGAAAATCGAAGGAGGATTAATGGTTGTCTGCAATCAATGCAAAATGTTAAGATTTACAAGAAAAAGTAACAAAAAAATAAAAAGAATTAGAAGAAATCTTCCGTCAGATGAACTGGACCAGCATATGATTGAAAATAGATAAAAAGTATAAATAACTAATACTGCAATAATATAAACCAAATTAAAGATAAATGAGGGGAACTGTACGGGAGCGAGGATATCCTAATCTAAAGGAAATAAACTGAATAGGGATATTGGGAACAAAAGAATTAAACAAATGTTATATTGTGGTCGCAAGGGGCGTTGGCTTAGGGAATGAATGAAAATATTATTGATATTGTCAAGAATATACACAGCGAACTACAAATACCCAAGATTTTACAGCGTTCAGAATTGGCAATGATAGTGTGAAACAAAGACCCATCAAAGTTATTTTTAGTAATGAGGAAAATAAATTAAAAATTATGAAGTCGCCGCGAAAAATATTTCTTAACACTCACAACCTAGGGTTTTCAACTAGTAATAAGATTTACTTAAATCATGATATGACAAAAAATAATATGGACTTATTCAAACAAGCTCAGGTGTATAAAAAGGATAATGGATATAAATATTTGTGGTTTAATAATGGCAATATACTCATGAGAAAAGACGAAAACGGCAAAGTCATGCTAATAAAGGATGTAAATGATTTAAAAAACTAGTCGAAACAAAATTAAAACTAGTTTACATGAATATACAAAGCATAAGAAACAAATTTGAAGAAGTACAATGTTATGTGATTGAAAGTAAGTGTGATATTTTGTTGTTGGTAGAAACGTGGCTATCTGAAAATGAAACATACTTATATGATATTGACGGTTACAAAGCCTTACATTCTTGCAGAGAAACTAGGGGCGGCGGTGCATCAATGTACATAAAAAATGGGATTAAACATAGGGAAATTTGTAGATCAAAACCCCAAGACACTTATAACTGGATTTGTTGCCTTCTTGGAAATGAAGACTTAAATTAGTCTATCTAACCGTCACCATCCTATGATTTTTTGACCAGTTACTTAATAAATGATAGAAAATTTAAAATAGACGATCACCCCAGAGTCACATAATTGTAGGGTGATAGTAAATATTAATTCTACTGGAATCGAAAACAAAAAGTCTCAAATATAAGTCAACGCATGAATCGTATAATTTCAAACTATTAAACAACATAGATATAGAATATGTTACAAGACAAACAGCAAATACCGCTACCATAATAGATCATTTATTTGTAAGTCGAAATACAAGCAAGAAGTGCACAGTTTCAGTGGAAAATAATGCAGGGCGGATGCATAAAAAGGCTAATAATTTAGTCTGGCAGAAGACATTAAAGTAATCTCCAAAAACGAGATATGAATTGAAGGCAATAAATCAAGATAAATTTACCAGACTTTTTAAAAGAACAGTTGTTTAACAATCAATAATACATTTCACAGTTTAATAAATATATTGCCGATACGACAATGTAAAAGTAGAAAGCTAAGTACATAAATATTGATAAAAGTGTCGTGGAACAATGCGAAGGTAACAAAACGAATTATTATTGCGCATAAAGGAACGTGATCGCCTATTCAAACAAAAAAAGAAACAACCTAACAATGCTGAATTAGAAAGTGCGTTTAAAACATTAAAAAATAGTGTAAATAACCAAATAAAAACCTTAAAAAATAGACATTTTAGACGGAAATGGGAAGAAGCAGGAACTGACTCAAAAAAACAATGGAAGTTCATTAACAATCTGGTAAAAAATAAATGTGCGGTCGGAACAATTGGCGAACTGATCGTAAACAATGTTGTTATCAGTGATTCAAAGTCTATAGCAAACCAGTTAAACTTGTATTTCTCTAGGATAGGTAAGATAATTAGGTGGAGGAGAAATAGACCATCGACATCACCAACACGCAGAAATCATATCAAGTACTTCAGTTTGAGGAAGCTATATAAATATAGTGCCTACATAACCCACAAACGAGGAAGAAAATTCGTTTGACATAATTCAAGGACTTCTGAAACAGAATGCAGCCCCTGGACACCGACTAAGGTACCCTCCTTATGGGACTTTAAAAACTCTTAAAAAAACAAAAAAAAAAAAAAAAAAATAAGTTTTCTTAAATTAATAATGTTCTTGAATCCGGTATATTTCCTACGGAGCTAAAAATCGAGTAAATTTAAACTATTTTTAAATAGTGGAGTAAAGACTCTGTCAGTAACTATCGACCTATAGCAGTAGTTAGTGTGTTTTCAAAAAATGAAAAAAAAAAAAAAAAAAAAAAAAAAAAAAAAAAAAAATAAATAGATAAATGTAGACCTATAGCGCAATTGATGGATTTATAAAAATATAGTGGAATTCAAGTGCAGTGGTGGACCTTGTAAATATTATATCAACGGAACTAGATAAGAAACAAATAGTAGTTGCCGTTTTTATCGACTTGAAAAAAGCATTTGATGTGCTGAGCTTTGATATCTTGCTGGATAAGTTAAAAAATATGGGCTTCGAGAGGAACAATTTATTTATAATAAACATACTAATTGAGATTACCAGCAGTATGTGAAGTTTGATGGTGGAGTAAGTGAAATTGAATGTAAAGATACAGGAATACCGCAGGGCTCGGTTCTGGGTCCATTACTGTATTCCTTATATGTACTAAGTTTAAGATGTTCAGCATTGACTGCTCAATATTTTACATTTGCAGATGATACAGTGCTAGTTTATAGTGGAGATGACGAATCGACAATTGAGTCTACGGTAAATGGGGACCTGGATCGATATGTGGGCTGGTTATTATGCAACAAACTATAAAATTAATATTGATAAAACTAAATTTATGTTATTTAAGCAAAAAAGCAAACGGTGTAAAATCTGCCAAATATTACCCATTAACAAATTACTCATAGAGAAGGTACAAACTTAAATTATTGGCATAATAATAAGATTCAAAATTTGAAGTTGAAGGTTAGAGCATATCAGCCACGTAACTAAACAAATTGCTTCTATGTTCAGTGCAGCGTATCGGTTCAGGAACTATCTTACATACAAGACAAAATTAAAAGGTGGTATTAATGCTGTATTTTTTAACCTCACTTTGGATAACTGCTCTGTTTGGGGTATGTGGTGTGCGAACTTTGGTATATTCAAAGATTCAATAAACAGCTAAAAAATACGACCAACTTTGACTCCACACGGAAGCCCTTACTACAGGGAGCTGGGAGTGCTTTAAGGCTGAGAGGACTTGCCGAGAGAATTGGAGCAGTGCAACCAATTTATAAAATAATTAAGCCAACGTCATAAATCATTTTTATACACCATTATTCATTCTGGCACAAAAATCATGATCATAAAACGAGACAGCATTGAACATTTATGTTTCTAACATTACTTAATAAGGATCCATAATCCGGTATATCAGGCTGCTTCTGCATACAACTCATTGCCAGATGACTTAACGCACGAAGCAAGATATCAGGAATTTGTAACGTAAATTAAAAAAAATATGTTAAAAATAAGTGTAAATAATTTATAATATACTAAGTATACAGAGCTGTTGCATGTGCCACTCTATTGATTTGAGTTAATATATAAATATATAGTGTAAATTTAAATTATTGTAAATAGAATACCTGTTTATTTTTTTATTTATTTAAGTTCTCAATACCAGTGTTTGATATATACACTGTTTAGAGAAAGAAAAAAACTATGTTGAATTATATGAACTTTATGTTAAATAAAAAAAAATATTTTCAAAAAAAAATCTGAACTATTTACTAACAGACTAAATTACAGAAACAGTTATTTTCATTATTCGTTTCAGTTACTTTCATTAGTGTTATGTCACCAATGTTACTTTAATTTTTTTTTAGAGTTATTGCTGAGCCGTCTATTAGCTTTATAGAAAATATTTAAGTTTAATATGTACTTATTTACCTCAAGCCATATCAGTTTTGTAGTTTTATCGTTACTATTTATTTGGTTGGCTGTGATATGCATATACAGGGTGTTTCCTAATTAATCTAAAAATATAAAATCAAAAAAAAAAAAAAAAAAAAAAAAAAAAAAGTATATTTATTTTTTCTCGAGCACCGTTTGATGAACAAGAAAAACTCGAAAGATCAATTTTATCGAGCAATACGTAACCGAACGAAGCATACTGA